AGGTCAACTCAATGTGGTATCCTTCTGTAGGTCACTAAAATGAGTACCCAGCTTGTTGGGGGCAATTAGCTTACACTTTGTAAACAATCTAGTACATTTGTAAGTGGTATAGAAATGTACTTCTATTGCTATTGCTATTGAATACAGCAGTAGCCCAGGTATGTCATCCCTCTCACCTGCACTAGACTTACAGAAAAAGGAAGAGTGGCTAGCCAGCTGCTACACTGCTCCCAGGGTGACTGAGTGCAAGGAGAGTAGCATCTGAGCAGCTGGTCAAGCTATGACTGGGCAACTGACCACCTTGAGAACAGCAACCAAGCAACTGGCTAAGCAGTGAAAAAGAAGACTGTAGCACATGCTGTCCTTATGGCAAAGGCCAGCACAGGCAAGAGGCTTCTCAGTTGCTGCTTGACAAGATGCTCAGTTGCTGATCCCAAGGTGACCATGTGAAAAGGAGAAATCTCTTCTTAGCAAGGAAGGACTCTCAATCTTTCTTTGCCAGGGAGAAGGGGACACTGCTGGCTTCCCATTTTTCTTCTCAGTGAGGAAGAATTCTCAGTCTGAGAGGGGCGAACGATCTTTCAAACAGCTGAACCTGGATTCTCCTCCCTCCTCCTTCCCCAGAAATGTGCCTTCCCCACATAGTCAATCGTCCCCCAACACACGAACATTGTTTCTCCTGCTACCTCTTATCTCAGCCTGTCTAACAAAAGAAAGCATGAGTAGCAGAGCAGCTCAAATCTGCCAGCTGAGGCCTGGAAAAATCACAAAGCTAAAAATAAAACAGGCATCCTGAACAACACACCCCAAAAATATATATATTCAGTATCCATTAATGAATATCTCCAAGGGACAGGTGTAGGTAATGGTATGATCTGTAGGCCATAGGTTACACTGTCATCAAATTTTAGCAATGTAGCAACAAAAAACAATGCAATGCTCTTTGGAAACAAAGTGCACTAGGAGCACCAACCTTGTTTTAAAGCACAGTTGTGCTTCTTTCAACATGATTTGCTTTAAAGCTAGACACATGTTCCCTGTCAACTTTGCCTATTTAAAAACCTAGGATTTTGTTATTGTGCTAAACCTTAGTGATACAGTGGTCAGTTTGACAACAGAGAAACAGAAGCCATCTGTCTGGTTTGGGCTCCAAACTCTTTTTCTTTCTATTCATAAATACTAGGGATTCAAAGACCAAATTCATATTTTTATTTCCCTGATATTCTTCTCAACTGGAACATTACACACATTGCTAGATGATTTCCAGATTTCTGAATGTAACTTTTAAGATAAATAAGATGCTCTTGGTAGTTCATCTAATATTGCTATTAATTCAAGATGTAATATCATCTTTTATTTTATACCTCTAGGTATAAAGACAGATGCTAACCAAGAGCTGTTTGGGGAAAAGATGTCTTCATGACCATCTTGAAGTGCTGTAACAGCTTACACATCATGTGTTATTAAAACTTCAAAATTTGACAACTCTGTAGTTACTTACCTTGTTAAGGATTAGTTTGTTAAGAAATAGTATCAGCCGGTCCCGCTCAAGTCTATCAGTACACTACAGAAAAATACGAATAGATATTTTTAATAGAAAATAAAATCCTAAGATATGCACTACATATGTAGCCATTCATTTTGTTTAGAGTAACAACATGCCTACAGCAATATTTAGAAAATATTATCCTTGAATTACCCAACGTTGTGTGCATTACTTGTGTGCACATATAGTAAACTGACCACTGATTTATTATAGTCATAACCTAAGAACAATGAAATTCTTATGATTCCGGCTGTAGTTAAACAAAAATGGATCTAGAGCTCAAATCAGATTATTGAAACAATTATAAAAACTACTCCCACAATGAGTGCCATTTCCCCTCTTTATTTTCCTTCTTGCAAACCTCACATGCTCATAAGCATAATTTGTTCGGAAAAAATCCTCAACACATAATTTGATCAATGTGCTAGTGGTGGTCAGGACAGAGCAGGGGAACAGAACAAGTTAACTGTCATTTTTACACTGAAAAGTTCAACTTACTGCCATATTTTATACATGCTAACTGTTAAGGTATACACATTGATTGGTATATACATCTTCATAAGTTGCAATGCTCAGGTATGATGCTTCATGGCAGTGGGAACGAAGGCTACAGCTGTGTGGCCCACATTAAAGAAAGTTGCAATACAAGTAGTCAAATTAAGTTCAAGATAAATATAATTAAATCTTTTTTTAGGATAAAATATAAAAAGAACAAATCTTCTGTCACTGGAAGTTAATAGAAAAGTTCTAGGTAAGCTTTAATAAGTGATGCTTGACAACCCTATTCTTCCCAAATTGTGTGCACTAATAAAAAACAAAAACCTACTCACCCTTTCCAGCATCCCTATGATATATCTAGTGTCACCAAATGGGCCTATCTCTTCATAGCATCTTCCATAAACAATGGCCAAAGCTTGCAAGCACAGGCATTTCATATTTATTTTAGGGGTAAGCAGGAAACGATGGTATAATTCATTGAAAAATTCATATCTGTGGCAAGGAAGAGTAGAACAAAAGGTTCAGGGGGTGGAGCATTAGCTTTAAAGCACAAGAGGACATTTAGATAATAGCAACTCACGATTTTTTTATTGCTCCACTTTCTTCGCTTTCATCTTCTTCCAAGAGCAACCTCAAGTAATAATCGCCTATTTTTATTTCCTCTGACAGGCACTCATATTTCACCTTAAAAGGAAAGTAAAATAGAAATGTATAATTAGTATTTACCATGAAGGTACCTTCTTAGGGGGTCCAAACAGAAGTATCTAAGAAAGTGGCAACATTTTCCTCATCATCCAGGAGAAGCAAAGTCAACTGAAGAAAGTCATGTTCTCTGGCTGCACCCTCAGTTCCAAATACAACTAAGGCCAGCTCACATCTTAAGAAGCAATGAATTTTTCAGGACCAATGAATGATGGCAGGTGGGAAAGGAGGCATGGTAGCCCTCTAGAGTGCCAAAGTATGCTGCGTGTTAATACTTTTGGCCTCTATATTAATACTCTGGGCCTGTTTTGTCCACGATAAAAACGGACTCCTGGGTCCCACAAGCCCCTTTAAGAGAGGATGGGGTAGATGCCCCTCCAGAAAGCACCTTCATGTTAAGCACCAATTACACCTTTTCTGAGAACTCCCTGGGACATATCCAATAGAATGGAAGATACCCAAGGAGTATTACTCATAATGGAGTGTCTGTGACTCCAGAAAAAAAAAAAAAAAACTACAGATTGATAGACACACTTGTCAAAGATTGCCTCTGCTGAGATGTAAATAGCCATATGGTAATGGCTGGTGAATGGATGGGCCCATGTTACTATCCTGCAGATTTCCACAACAAGGATATTAGTTTGAGAAAGATGCAGATATAGATGCTGCGCTTGTGGTAGGCACTGTTGAACTCTTCTCTCAAACAGTGTGTGTGGAGTCACAAATTAGATTATGCAGGCTATTATTCCCTTGCCAATGATTGGTCTAGATATTTTCCCCCAAGTGGGGTGAAAAGAAATAAAGCAGGGGTTGGCAACCTACGGCCCAGGAGCCAGATCCTCCCCCCGAGGCCTTTGGACCAGCCCCAGGCCGATCCTGCTGCCGCTGCAGCGCGCATCACGGCCGCCATTTTGTTTTCCAAAATGGCAGTCGCAACTCATTTGCGCATGCGCCGAGTACTATGCGTGCGCGAGCGAGTTGTTTGCGCATGCACAGTACTCGGCGCATGCGCAAATGAGTTGCAGCCGCCATTTTGGAAAACAAAATGGCGACCACGACTCACTCGCGCATGTGCAGTATTTCGGAAGTACTGCGCATGCGCATGCATGAACAAGAGCGCATGCGCAGTACTTCCGGAGTACTGTGCATGCATGTGCGCACAGCACCATTTCCCCCTTGGCCTGCGGAAGACCGGAGGAAGACCTTACCGGCCCCAGGTAAGAAAATGTCGCTGACCCCTGAAATAAAGAGTGAGCCTGTATCTTGGTATGTTTTGTGCACCTGATGTATACTTTCAGGACCATGTACACGTCCAAAGTATGTCAATGTTTCTGTGGTAGGATGAGAAGGTTTGGGCAAAAGTAGGGGAGACCCATCATCTCTGTCCTATTAACAATGTATTAATAGTTTATGTAAAAGAGGGATCAGCGAGAAGGACAGCTGAGTCTGAGCTGAATAAGAAGCGGTAGTTTCAGCCAAAAAAAGCTTTTGTTTCTGATACTTCTGGCACAGTAAAGTAAAGCAACCAAGGAAGCTGCTTTGAATGTCAGGATATGAAGTTAAGTTAAACAGGAAGTATGGTGTGGGATTTAAGGATCACATGGAGATTTCAGGCAGAGAATATGTCTATGACCAAAGGGGAGATGAGCAAGTGGCTGTCAGAAAATGCTTGGGATGAAGGACAATGGAAAGATGTAATTAATCTGAGTCTGTCAGTACTGCTGATAAGGAGGTGGTTTACTTCCAGAAAAGCTGATTTGAGCCCTATGTCCAATCCTGGCTGATGAAATAAAGGAACTCTTTCACCCCTGTGTTGTTTATGGAGGTGGACTTTATATTGGGTCCAGCACAGAAAAGCCTTTTAAGTTGCCTCATAGATCATTTTGCAAATGGCTTCCTGGATACCAGATGGGTGTCTAAAAGCTTCAGCAGGCATCCCTGCTTTAGGAAGGCTTTGTACTCGGTCTCTAGGCTGTTGGAGCATCTGACACATCTTCATTAATCCCTAACAAAGCTAGTGCCTTTAACAAAAAGAGCAACTAATCCTCAGTATTAAACAGCTTGCCTTTTGATGATTTCTCTATTGACCACTTTCCCATGCCCTTGTCTTAGATCTACAGCAAAGTCAGGAGACTGACCTCATTTATAACAGATGGGTCAAACCAAAGTTTACTTCAAGAGGATTGAGGCAATGAGAATACCCTCAAGGATTCATCTGAGTAAGCAAGAACATCAGAAATAACAGATTAGTAGAGCCAGTGTGGCATAGTGGTTTGCACATTGGACTATGACTTTGAAGATCAGGGTTTGAATCCCTGTTCAGCTATGGAAACCCACTGGGTGACCTTAGCAATGGTAACCCCCTACAAGGAAATTTGCCAAGAAAACCCTGTGGTAGATCTGCCTAAGTGTCGCCATAAATTGGAAACAACTTGAAAGCACACAACAACAAAATAATTTATGAGCATATCTGGAGATCCTCTGGTGGTTTCAGCCAAAGAATGAAGGGTATCCTTTTTACTACGATAAACACCTGTATGTTGCTTTTTAGCAGGTTTAGGAGGTTTGGGGCAGAGTGTTGGAACAATGTTCCTTTAAAATGTAAAATATTTTGTATGGCTGGAAATGATAAGTAACACCAGGTGACGACCCTTAGCTATCTCCACTGAATATAAGTGCTCTGAGACTCAGGCCACGTGTGGGTTGAAGATAATGGATTGTTGGAGTTGCTGAATTTTGAAGTGGATTGAATAGCAGACAGTAAATGTTGGTGAGAGTCGAAGGAGTGTTTGTAAATACCTTGTATATATGGCAACTACAGATAAAAGAGCCTCTATCTTTTTCAAGTAGCTTAGCGGTCATAAAGATGAACATTCTTCCAAGACTTGTGTACTTGTTTCAAAACCTTCCTATCCTAATAAATGAAAAATGTTTCAATACGTGGCAAAAAAAACTTGTGAAATTTCTATGGCAAGGAAAGAAACCTAGGATAAAATGGAAAATCCTAACTGAAGAAAAGCTAAAAGGGGACATGGCAGCACCAAACTTAAAACTGTATTATTATGCCTCCTGCCTGGTATGGCTGGAAGAGTGGATTAAGCTTGAAGATGAAGACCTATTGAATACCAAATGCCATGATATAAGATTCGGTATACACGCATATCTATGGTATGACAAATCAACTGTAAATCGAGACTTCAATAACCATATAATCAGATGAGCATTATTAAATACATGGAGAAAAATTAAAAACAACATTATAGGAAAACACCTCTATGGATCTTAGTCCAGGAGGCTCTCTATAAAAGAACGAAAATTGATGGAGTAAAGTGGATACGGTATAAAGATACATTAGAGATAAACACTGAGAAAGATTGTGATTTTAAGGCCTTGGAAACTATACAACAAGATAATAAAAATATAAACTGAAGTTAAAATTCAGGCAATTCAGGGTGGATTCAAAACAGAAAATAACGAAATGGACAACATTATATTTCTAGAAGAGAATAAACATATTGCAAAATATTATAAGTTATTTAAAAAAAGAGATCTGGAGAGTGAAACAATCAAAGCTGTAATGGTTAAATGGGCACGTGATATAAGAGAACCAATTTTTATAGAAGAATGGGAAAAATCTTGGAAAATAACAAATGAATTTACATTATGTCAAAATTATAAAGAGAATTATTTTAAGATGTTCAATCAATGGTATCTAACGCCAGATAAATTGGATAAAATGTATAAGACTGGCAATTCCAAATGTTGGAAATGTCAAAAACCAGGTGGGAATTTTATACATATATGGTGGGAGTGCCAGATAGCCCAAAAATATTGGTCTATTATAGCAAAAGCAAAAGGTGATATATTGAAGTCCAAATTAGAATTAGATCCCAAGATTTTTCTACTGAACATGGTTGACAGATTGGAAAAAAAGATACAAAAAAATCAGAAAAAAATGGTTCTCTATATGATCACTGTTGCTAGGTTTTTATACTCCCAACATTGGAAAAAAGATACCATTCCTGACGAGGATGAATGGTGGATAAAATTACAAGAAGCTATAGACATGGACAAACTTACTAATTTATTAAAAGGGAAAGATGACTGGACTAATCTCTGTAATAGTGGATTAAAAAACAGATGGAAATACATTTAAAATATATCTTTAATATAAGAGAAATGATACATTAAAATGTGATTACAGGGAAAATAAGTATGGTGACTATACTAATAGGAAGTACAAAGAAAAAGAAGAAGTTGAAGAAACAGATAACAATTCTCAAGTCACAGCAGGATAAATAAGATACAAGGAATATAGTAAGGAGAATTTACGTTTTGTATTTATCTATTTATCAATGTGATAAATGTTAGGTTTTTTGTTGTTGTTGTTGGACGTGTGGATTTATGCTGATGTATGATATTATTGTATAATAGTTTTGTATGTGGTTAAAGTATTTATGTTGTTTGTGTAGTAATGTTATTTTTTAATAATAAAAAAAATTAAAAAAAAAGAGCCTCCAAGGACTTTGGAAGAAAACAACTGTGTCTGTGAATCATTTAAGGTTGGTCAGCGCATTGCCAAATACTATAAACTGAGTTGGTGCTTCCGCACTCTGCTGTTAATTGCAACTGTTGAGGATAATTACCTCAGACAGTGCTGAAAGTTGGCATCTCTGGTGGGCCTAGTTTTTGTTTTTGTTACTGCACATCAGCAGGACATAGAAGAGAGCCAACAGAGTGGCTCAAGCCTTTCAAAGACTGAGCAATTTTGTTTACCAGCAGATCATCAATATTCCATAAAA